ATGATGAAAATTACCGGCCTCTCTCATCTTTTTAAGTGGGAGAACTTGCACTATTGGTGGCTGACTAAATACTTTTTTGCCCCACTGTAACTGCATGTTTTCTATAGAAGAAGAAACCTTACATTGATCCCGTGTTCATTCTTACAATTTATACTTGGCAGGGGTTAGCAAACTTTGGCCTTGGTTAATCCCATTAGACTGGAGAACGTTAGCCACTTGTTGTTCATTGAATGCACAGTCAATTTCACGAAAAAAAATTTCTGTTTCTGATTTTTTATTTTTTTTTGGGGTGGAAACATTTTTATTGAAATGAAAATTATTGAAGATTTGAGCACAATTAAATCGTACAGTCTTACAAGTTCATTAGATTAGAGTCTGGTGTTGCTCTTTAAGCAAACAGACATAAAGAAAACAATTTGGATTCCAATTAAATGTTTTCTGTAAAAGTTTACATTTGTAGCCTATTTTTGTAATAGTGTGCTCTTATTCAGGTTCCTAAAGTTAAACTTGCGAATATAACTCAACCACACAGTTCACTACTTGTCACATACCAGCAGATGTCCCAGTTCCCTCATGTTTCCATTCTTCTCTCTCTTGTATCATTGCTAAGGCCAAGCTCAGTATGCTTGCAGCAGCATGAGGGTTTCAGCTCACAGAGAGATATGTAGCAGTCATTTCCTGCCCTGCTTAGTACTGACTTGTATTTCCCCTTTTGCTGCTTCCAACATTGCTGCCGTCTGCAGTTTTAATCCAGCCTGACCACATTCCTACAAAATCTTTTTATCATTGCTAAACAAATGATCCTTAATGTAAGTTAAACAAAAATCATTGTGCTCATTTTCATACTTTCATGAGCAAATCATGCATATTTAAGCTGGATCTAGTGCTTGCATAAGAAACAATTTTCAGTCCGGATGTGGGGCGGGACTGTGACTGAAACCATAAGTCCACCCGTAGGGGAAGTAATGTCACTGATGATGAGGCAGAGGATCTGTATTTAGATTCAGCTCAGAAAGAGGTGGATATTACACCAAAATTGTTGGTCTGTACACAATAACTGAACACTATCCATAGTGGAGATTAGGAGCATTTTTCTTGCCTCTGCTTGTTCAGGATGTTGTTGGTCGAGAGAATTTCAACTAAACATGCTAGATAACTTGTACCTCTTCTTCTGGTTTAGATTAAAAGACAAATTTTGATAAAACACAAAAAAATGTAAAACAAAAAGGAAATTAAAACTTAACTTTTGCTGTGTGCATACAGGTGCAAAGGAACTACTAATGAGTATTTTGCTCCTTATGTAGGTTGATAAGACAGTTTAAATTTATATTCCACTTTGAAAAGTAATTCAACTTTTTGTGCCATTTACTTAATTATATTTAGTTACTTTAACACAATTGTTTCATGTTAGCAGGGTAGGACATAAAACAATTGTGTTAAAGTAACAAAATATGATTAAGTAAATGCCAAAAGCGGTTGCATTATCTTTTTCAGTGAAGTTGTAGTCTATTGTTTGACCTCAAACATGGAAACTTGGGTTTAAAACTGATAACAACGAATAGGTGTTTGTGTAGCAGCAGGATTTCAGAGTGATCTCAATGAGTAATCATGGCACTTTGAATCTGGGGTATATACAGGTGCTGGTCATAAAATTAGAATATCATGAAAAAGTAGATTGATTTCAGTAATTCCATTTAAAAAGTGAAACTTGTATATTATATTCATACATTACATACAAACTCATATATTTCAGATGTTTATTTTGTTTAATTTTGATGATTACAAATGACAACAAATGAAAATCTCAAATTCATCATATCAGAAAATTAGAATATTGTGAAAAGGTTCAAAATTGATGGCCCCTGGTGCCACGCTCTAATCAGCTAATTAACTCAAACCACCTGCAAAAGCCTTTAAATGGTCTTTCAGTCTAGTTCTATAGGCTACACAATCATGGGGAAGACTGCTGACTTGACAGTTGTCCAAAAGACGACCATCGACACCTTGCACAAGGAGGGCAAGACACAAAAGGTCATCGCTAAAGAGGCTGGCTGTTCACAGAGCTCAGTGTCCAAGCACATTAATAGAGAGGCGAAGGGAAGGAAAAGATGTGGTCGAAAAAAGTGTACAAGCAAGAGAGATAACCGCACCCTGGAGAGGATTGTGAAACAAAACCCCTTCAAAAATGTGGGGGAGATTCACAAAGAGTGGACTGCAGCTGGAGTGAGTGCTTCAAGAACCACCACACACAGACGTATGAAAGACATGGGTTTCTGCTGTCGCATTCCTTGTGTCAAGCCACTCTTGAACCACAGACAGCGTCAGAAGCGTCTAAAGAGAAACAGGACTGGACTGCTGGTGAGTGGTCCAAAGTCATGTTCTCTGATGAAAGTAAATTTTGCATTTCCTTTGGAAATCAAGGTCCCAGAGTCTGGAGGAAAAGAAGAGAGGCACTTCATCCACGTTGCTTGAAGTCCAGTGTAAAGTTTCCACAGTCAGTGATGGTTTGGGGTGCCATGTCATCTGCTGGTGTTGGTCCATTGTGTTTTCTGAGGTCCAGGGTCAACGCAGCCACATACCAGGAAGTTTTAGAGCACTTCATGCTTCCTGCAGCTGACCAACTTTTTGGAGATGCAGATTTCATTTTCCAACAGGACTTGGCACCTGCACACAGTGCCAAAGCTACCAGTACCTGGTTGAAGGACCATGGTATCCCTGTTCTTAATTGGCCAGCAAACTCTCCTGACCTTAACCCCATAGAAAATCTATGGGGTATTGTGAAGAAGAAGATGCAATACACCAGACCCAACAATTCAGAAGAGCTAAAAGCCACTATTAGAGCAACCTGGGCTATCATAACACCTGAGCAGTGCCACAGACTGATCGACTTCATGCCACGCCGCATTGCTGCAGTAATACAGGCCAAAGGAGGCCCAACTAAATACTGAGTGCTGTACATGCTCATACTTTTCATGTTCATACTTTTCAGTTGGCCAACATTTCTATAAATCCTTTGTTTTTATTGGTCTTCAGTAATATTCTAATTTTCTGATATGATGAATTTGAGATTTTCATTTGTTGTCATTTGTAATCATCAAAATTAAACAAAATAAACATCTGAAATATATGAGTTTGTATGTAATGTATGAATATAATATACAAGTTTCACTTTTTAAATGGAATTACTGAAATCAATCTACTTTTTCATGATATTCTAATTTTATGACCAGCACCTGTAGATTTAAGTGGAAAAAGTTTGTCTGATTTAAGGAGCCAAAATACCTAAGACCTGATGCATATTGTTCAGCTAGAAGCCTGTAGAAAAACATCACCTTAACCTCAACTAAAAATTTATTTTAACCTAAATCGTGGTCATTGTACATTAAGATTTACAGGAAGATCTAGTAGAAATATACCTTCTTCTCAATGTTTCCTCTTGGAGTAGCTGATATAGCCAAGATGTTTTGAGTCTGTCCTAATGGCAAGAATGCACCGCTGCTGTTGTAAAGATTAACTAGGAAACACCAAATGCAGTTTTCAAATTGTTTTATTATAGGGAGAATTATCTTCTTAAACAAATCTGCCCCTGTGGGAAAAATAGATTAATCATAAACCTACTGTAGGAGCAATACTGACACTGATTTTGACACTTTCCTCAACAAAGAGGTTTCCCTTTTAACCATATAAAGGTTTTTTTTATATATGTGGAGCATGTTTTAAATTAAAACTAAAATAAGATCTGTTTTTAACTTCAGATGTCCTACAGTTTTTCCTGTAGGAAAGATGATTTCAAGCCTTCATTTCTGTTTACAATTTTGATGTTCTGCTTACAGCTAATAGAAAATAGATGTTACTTCAAATTAATTGCACTTTTGATTTAGAAATGTAAAAACTGAAATGTCCACTTAAAGGCTGATATTTTGAAAAGAAGAAAGAAGATCGTTGTAGCATTCTGTATCTGGAGTGACAGAAAAACAAGCAGTGTGAGTCAATGCAAGCAGTGGGAATCCATATAGGAAGATGTCTAATTGTAAATGACTCATGATGTAAACCACTTTGTATTCTAGTGGAGTAAATGTTACAAGATATCCTTATTTGGATAAAGTATTTGCTTTATATTTATCAGCTATCTTCATTACAATTAAGTGGCAGGTCACAAAGTTCAAGTTTGATATAATGGATTTGCAGCTGGCTGAAGTGCAACAGCTGTATGATTCCATTATGCAAATATGCACCACAGAATCTAGGTATTGTTCCTGACACTATGTTGAATCTGTGCTATAGGCAATAAGGCATCTCTGAGGGAAAAAGGGTGTTTAGATCAGTACTAGTAAAGGCTATCGAATAAAGAGACCTACATTCCACAAAATACATCAGATCACAATATTCTAAAACTTGTCTTCCTCCTTTGTGCTGGGAGCGGGTCTAAGCTTTCTGAAAATTCTTTGCTGCAATCCTGGATGTTCCAGGAGAGTGTATGGGTTTGAGGCACATGAAATTAAAGAATATTGTTTCTTTCAATCAGAACCATTACCATTCATATGAAAATGTGTGGGTTTGTTTTACTTCCTGCAACAATGAGGCTTGTCCAAATGCTGGACATATATGGAGCTAAACCCCTCAGTGATCGCTGGCATGTGTTGCCCCAGTGTCAACAGGTAGCTTTGCAATTACTTCAGCCGTCTGTCTCCACTTGTCTTACCTTTTCCCTTAAAAGGAGACCCATTTGCGTCTCAGCAGGAGATTGGTCAAAACTTGGACAGGTTACTTCCATATAAGGCTTTGCATTGCTGCTCAGAATTTTTTTCACCTGAGTTTTTACTTAGAAAAACAAAGTTAATGCGTTTACAATATCAATTCAGCTGCTAATTGTGAATTTGATGTTTGCTCTGTGTAATGCACCCCAATTAATAGCAAAAATTGTGATTTGGGCTTTGCATGTGATCAAATTAATTGTATCACACCTGCGCAGATGTGGGTGGAGTCAGCTGCTAGAGGTGTGCTCATTTATTGCAGCTCCGCCTGTATGAGTCAACCTGCTTCCTTCTTATAACCCTCTCAGCATTCTGACAGCAGCTACCATTTTTCCTCTGCAGCCTCTTTCTACCACATATCACAACCACAATGGTGAGTGAGTTTTTTTTATATGAAGTTGGTGAACTGTGTTTATATTGAATCTTCTTGAACAAGATTCCAAATTTTTTTGTTTTGCCAAATGAAAATTCAGGAAATTGCTTTTCTGAATCACTTCCTTATTTTAAAATGCCTTTAAAATATGTGCAAGCTTTTTATTTTAATTTTTTTTTTCTTCCTTTCTAAGTAATTTCAATTGGAAGTTGTGTAGTGTGAAGCTTCTAGGGAGAGGGATTTCTTTTTAACAGGGTGCAGTTTAACCTGGTGCATGTTGAGAAGGGTTTGTTCAAGGTGTGGTTTGCCTCCAAAATGGAGGGAGCTTTGTACGTGTTTGAAACTGGTTTAGTGCATCCCTCAGGGCGGCGTTTCTTGTGCGAACTTGTTCCAGAATGACAGGAATGTGATTGAACCAAGGCCTAAACCCTGCTGGGAAGCACCCAACACTGGGTTGCTTTTGAAGAAAAAGACTAATCTTTATTTTTGTCTTTGAGAACTTGACTGTCTTAACTGGGCTGACATTTTTGCTGTCATTCTTAAAGTTGTGAAGAGCTTCCTGTTTCTTTATTCAGTTCTGCTTTTCTTCTTAGAACCAAAGTACAAGTAAAGTTTCTGTCAGAGCACCAAATCAGGCCCAGATTTTATTTAAGGGTCTGGATTATGGAAGTTTCTAACTATTTTTTTTTTATTTTTTTTTATTTTTTGTGAAGTTTACAGCCCAATGCTGATTTAAGACTGATGCTATAATGAAGCTCCTTACTTTATGCAAACATTAGAGATGTAGTTATTAAGGGGATATGTAGTTTCCGATCTAAAAAATTGATTTTTGTTCCTCAGGCTTCTGGAGTGCAAGTTGATGACAAAGTGAAGGACATTATCAGTGACATGAAAGTGGTGAAGAGCGATGCTGATGCAAGTGAACGCATCAGACTTGTGGTCTTGGAAATCAAAGACGGTTTTATTATAGTGGAGAAGGTCTTCAAAGAGAAGGATTTGAGCGGAGAGGCAGACATCTTCAAGTTCTTCCTGAGCCTTCTGGAAAAGGAAAAGTGCCGCTACGTGCTGTACGACTGCCACTTTGAGAACAAGGAGTCAAGCAAGAAAGAGGAGCTAGTCTTCGTGATGTGGTATTTATAGTTTTTTCTAAACCAAAAAAGTCTTCTCTTTTGAGAACTTAAAACTGTCTTTCATATGGAGCCTGCAGAGGATTGACAAGCTGAATATTTTTTCTTTTTTTTTTTTTTTCTTTTTCAGGGCTCCTGAAACTGCACCCATCAAATCCAAAATGCAGTATGCTAGCTCAAAAGATTCACTTAAGAAAGTCTTGACAGGTATGTTTTATTTTTTAAACGCACTATAGAGTTTTGAATTTGCACAAGTCTTTACTTCCAATATTTTTTTTCTTAAACAGGCATCAAACATGAGCTGCAGATGAACGACCTCTCAGATTATGGAACCAGGGACCAATTTGCAGAAAGGATAAGCAGAAATGTTATCAGTGTTGAAGGCCATCCTGTTGGGAAGTAAAATTCAATTTGCTTCTGACTTGCCTGAAAAATCATGGCCTGGCTTGCCTGATCATGATGGCTTCTAATAATTTTGATTAAATTTGTTTAAACAGGTCTTTAACAAAAGTTGCTCCATTTGGTAAAATTTGTCATGTCACTTCAATTCCTCTTAACTAAACCTTAGAAAGTTGTGTAAATGTGGATTAAACTCTTGTGTGATTCCATACAGCTAATATGATCTTGTGCTGTAAAATCCTTCAAGATTTTCAAGCTCAGAGTGGCTAGGCACATAGTTTGACTCATCTACAGTTTTTTTTGGACAATTACACTGTGGCTACTTGGAAGTAATGTACATCTTTGTATCTAAAAGAACTGAAAAATCAATGCATTGTCAAATAAAGTAAATGAAAATGAGTTTTTGCAATTTCTGTATGCTTCCAGGAACCTTGTGTAATTTGCATTGTACATGGTTGAAAATGTAATTTCAGCATCTAGGTGTTTCAGCAGGAAAAGTGTGCAGCTGACTAGTGCTTTTTTTTTTTTTTTTCCCCTCTTTAGAAACCTGTAACAAGTAAAATAACTTTTTTAAATGCAGAAAAGCCAATTAACCAGTAAGCACTAGTGAGGGGTACTTAATATCACTAAAAACAGTTTGTCCATCAATTACCCTTAACTTCCTGAAAGTAATTGTTTCTCGGCTGAGCAAACTATAATGGGCAACAGTCATAATGCGGCAGTGTCTGTGACGTCATTTCTACTTCGCAGATTCGACCCAAATAAGGAATAGTTTGACAGGAACTTGTCTGCCGATTTCTAAATGCGTTTGCTGCTCTTCTACATCAGTATGAAACCACACACGATGGATTTCTTTTGCAAGTTTGGGAAACAAAATGCTGTTTAGTTTCACTTCTAAAAAGTGTCTGTTTAAAAGCAGATATGGATCAAGCCTAAAACCAAAGCACACATCCATTGTATAGTAAACTTCCTGGTCTAACTTCAGTCGAAAAGAGGCTGAAACTGTTAGATGACCTTGAATTTGACATGTGAGAACATTGCAGAGTAGAAGTACTTCCTGTCGAATCAGACCTGTGACTTTTTTTTTTTTTTTTTTTTTACTGGTTCTTGCCCCAGGCAGGATATGACTGTTAGCAGTGGTGGTTCTTGTATGCTACACTGGGAAAGTGGCTTTTCTTTGCTCCAATCACAAGAGTACCAACAAGGCGTTATGGCATTAATTTTACAAGTCAGGGTTAGAGCATTGTACATCTACTCATAGGCGTTAAAAAAAAAAAACCCTGAGGGTTTTCATTACCATCTGTTATGGAGTGTAATTTATGGTTTAGTGTTACAAGTCTATTTTGGTGTATGTTCCACAATTTTGATATCGAATTGTATTAGCCTTTTTCTACATTCAAAAATGTATGTTTGATCCCTGTGGTTTTCATTGAATTTGAGGTGTAGAAGAATGGGACAAATACTAGTATTTACTTTCAACAAATTGAGCCCCTCAGCAGTGCTTCTGAGAATTGCACATAATCAGGCTGGCACCTCATTTTCATGCTTGTCACCATTGGTCAGACGGTGCTCTGGGATGGTATCCTATGAAAGTCAAACTGTTTTTGAAAAGCATAGCCAAGCTGATCTGTACAATCTGTTCTGTACATCTGTTCAATAGGGCTGAGGTCAGAGCTTGAAAACTACATACTGAACTGGTTAAAAATGCAGCTGAGTATGTTAAAATTAGTTTTTTGATATATGCCCGAATTCTAGCAACTACAAAACGGGCAGCTGGAATCTCCCTAAGTTTTTCTTTAGTGTTTAACATTTTGACAAAAATCCTGGAGAATACCAGAGCCCTGCAAATGACCAGCCTGCTACAGATGTCATCTGTCTGCACAGACAGAAACTGACTCCATGAGGATGGTATGAGGGCCCAACGTCCACTGATGGGGTTTGTGCTCACAGTACAACACCGTGCAGGGTACTTGGCATTTTCCGGAGAACACAGGGATTGATAATTCCACCACTGGTGCCCTGTGCTTCTCACAGATGAAAGCAGGTTCACACTGAGCAGAAGTGACAGACATAACAGAGTCTGGAGACGCCATGGAAAGTGACCTGCTGCCTGGAACATCCACCAGCATGATGGGTTTGGCAGTGGATCAGTAATGGTGTAGGGTGACGTTTCTTTGGAGGGCCGCACAGCCCTCCAAGTGCTTGCCAGAGCTAACATGACTACCATTAAGTACTGAGATGAGATCCTCAGACCCTTTGTGAGACCAAATGCTGGTTTAGTTAGCCGTGGATTAGTTTTAATGCAATGCTAGACCTCATGTGACTTGAGTGGGTAAGAAGTTCCTGCAAGATGAAGGCATTGAAACTATGTACTGGCCCGCCCCTCCCTCAGACCTGAATCTGATTGAGCACATCTGTGATATCAAGTTTCAATTCCATCCACCAATCTCACATTGAACCACAGACTGTCCAGGAGTTGGCCGAAGCTTTATTCCAGGTCTGGCAGGTCTCTCAGGAGACCATCCGCCACCTCATCAGGAGCATGCCCAGGCATTGTGGGGGGGTCATACAGGGAGGTGGAGGCCACACACAATACTGAACCTCATTTTGACCTGTTTTAAGGCCATTACATCAATGCTGGGTCAGCCTGTAGTGTGTTTTTCCACTTTGTGTGTGAATCCAAATCCAGACTTTTATTGATTAATATATTTGATTCCACTGATGATTTTTGTTGTCAGAATATTCAAATTTTTTAAGAACAAATAATTCAATGAGGATTTTTTCCTTCATTTAGCTCTAGGATGTGTTATTTGAGTGTTCCCTTTATTTTTTGGGCGATGTACATGTAGGGGAAATAAACAGGATCTTACAAGGTTATGAGATTTAAAAAGGCCCTAGGTTCCTTTTATGTTTTTAGATGTAACAATATATGTATTGTTACATCTAAACAATACATATATCACACTAAGTTTAGATTAATTTCATGCAGAGTAAAATTTATAATTATTGGTCAATATTGTGGTTTAGGCTTACAACTCATCACAACCCCAAAAATGTATCAAATTATATTACATGAACACAATTTAGTAGCTCAGACATTTTTCTGGAAGGGTAAGGTAAGTCATCAGAACCAGGCTATTTACATATTGGTGTATCTATTTATAGGTATATCAATTTGGGTGAAAGAACCCAATTGGGTTGAAAAGAGGTCTGGCAAAAAACTACCCTGAGAGGATTGTGAGGTTTAGGAGGGATAACACACACAGGGATTCAGGACAGGGTTGGGACTGTCACATTCCTTGTGTTAAGCCACTCCTGAGAATTAATATATGGTATGTCTAATCTGGGCATAGGAGAGACCTGGATCCAAAGTCCTCTAAGTTTCTAATTTAGCATTTTATTCCATGGACAGGCAATTAATACACAATGCTTTAGATCCAATGTGAACTCTCAACATTCAGTGAGGTTTGGGCTGCCATGTCATCATCTGGTGTTGATCCGTGTTTCTAGATGGTCAAAACCAACACAGCACCTAGCAGGAAATGTTACAGCACCAAACGCCTCTTTATGTTGTCCAGAATTATGAGATGTTGATTTCATCTTCTAGCAGGACTTGGCACCTGCCCACATCAACCAAAATATGGTTCACTCACTATGGTAGTGCAAATTAAATTGGCTTGATTTAACCCCCCCCCTGCAATTTATGGGGGATTAAGTAATAGAGGTGAGCCCACTAGATCCAGCAAACTGTATAAAACTTTTAAACAACCTGGGCTTCCATTAGACCCTTGATCCAACACTGCACTGGTGCAGCAATTAATATAGACGTATTGAGGGCTTAATATTGTACAATATCTGAACATACTTTTCATTTCTCTATTTAAATTACTTTGATTCAATGTGACATTACAATTTTCAGAGAAACTTAATGTTAGGCTTTTATATTTAAGCCATAAAGACTGACATAAGCATTAACTAAATATATTATGCATAAGATAGTTTTCAATTACTGAAGATAATGTCATGTTGCTTTAAGGGTAATAGTTTTCATATTTTACAAACCATTCTACAGATTCCGAACGCATCAAAGTTTAATCAGCCCATGTATTGCAGTTTTCTCTGTTATATAAATTTGGGTCTATGTCCATAGCCTTACGTTTTTTCATCCTCACCCCTCAATGCGCTCCTTACGCTCTCCCAGACTGGACCAGCCTTTGTAGTGAGCCAAATCAGAAACAACCAGTCTCAAAGGGGAGCTCATCTGTCTGTAATCCACCTACTGGGTCTTACATGTCATGGAAGATGATGTCATGGGTGGAGGTAACAGGTTAGACCTGAAACTTTCTTTGACTCGCTCAAATTCACTTTTTTTCCCCCACAGATATGAACTCAACAGCAGTAGATAGTGCTAAACTGTAGTTTATTCATTCATACCAATCTGATGTATTGTCAGCCAGATGCAGAGGAAAGCAGGCTCTACAATGAACCATAAAATGTTCCCATCATTCAACCACATAGAAAAGACATACAAGGTAATTGCACAGATTGAAGCACGTCTGACGTGCCTTCATGTTCCCTTTTAACACTGAACTATGAGGAAATGTTTGGAATATAAGGCAAGGGGATAAATAACTTCTGACATGATCAGAATTGTAGATGGAATGTGAGCTTCAGTAAAGACTGCAGCAGGATTCTCTCCACTAATCTTACGCTGAAATCTTCATTACAAAAAAATATTTGATCCCTACAGTTGCAACAAAATGCAAACTACAGTACAAGAAGAATAAATTTGGAATGCATAACTAGGTAATCATAAGGCATATTTGGCAGCTTTATGGTAGCGTTCCCAGAGATTTTAGACAGATGTTCCTTCCTTCAGTTCCACAATTTCTCCCTAAAAAAAAAAAAAAAAAAAAACACAGAAGAAACATGACATATTAGAAACAAAATAAGATTAAAGACAGCCTGTGTGTTTCAAAGCAGTATCAGACCCACCTTGTGCTCCTGTAGTGTTTTCACA